AAATTTTCCTTTCAATATATATATATATATATATTTATCATCACAAAGTTCAAAGAAATTCAATATTCAAATTTTAGCAATTCGCATTTCCAATCCCTCTAATTGTATTAGTTCAAAGAAAAAAAAGTTTAAGTAAAGATTTAAGGTTGTAAATGATTATCAACTAAAAATTTTTTTATTTATAAAATTTTTGTCAAGTAGTTCTGTAATTTTATTAGATAAAATTTCGTTTAATTTTTATTCACATACTATGTTAAACTTTTACTTAAATTTTTTATCTTAAAAATAAATAAAAAATTAAATCATAATTTTATTTTTTGCATGTTTAATTATAATTGTATTTTTGGAATGAGGGAGGGAGTAATTAATATGCAAAAGCTGACCCACAAATTCCTAGTAAATATCTTCACAATATGTCATGTGAATTAATTAAAAACCTCAATGGACAATCCTCCCTCTTATTATATTTTAAGTCATGATTATTTTAATAAAGATATTAGCTCACATTTAAAGTTGTCAAGTGGACCACTATATATTGTGTCTGATGAAGTCATTAGTGAGGCACTGAGGTAGGTAGGTTACAAAAAACCCTCATCCCAACACACAAAGATATATCAGATATCTTCTGCATTATTTTTTTTATTTTATTTTCCCCACTGTCTTATTTTTCTTCTTGATTATTCTCTGTTCCTCCATGTGGCCCTTATGTTGGCCCCTACGTTCCCTCCAAAGGTTCGTTGGCTCCATACTTCCATGGGTGTACGTACCTGGTTTTGGCTCTTTATTGTATAATTTTTTTTCTATAAAAGGTTGTTATCTCGTAATTGCATGGATGATATTTGTCATCAATATGCACCATTCTCATCTCCACAAAATTTTACATATTTATTTACTTATTTTTATTTTATATATATCAAGGTTTATATCATTTTTGTCAGAATGTTCTTAAATTTTCCTTTCAATATATATATATATATATATTTTGTAACCATTTAGTATTTGAAAATTCACTAAACCACTAATCAATCCAAATTCAAGATAAATAAAACTCAATGAGCAATAAAACCCTCTCCCATAAGTTATAACGAAACTGCATTAAAACTTGTGAAGGTGAGCCTTCCTTTCATAATTTTGTTGCGTGTTCCTACCTCCTTTATGATTTAATCAGCACCGCACCGTTCTTTTAGTAGAAAATATGACAACTAATAGATATATAGTAATAAAAATGTAAAACAGCTATCATTAATAAAAGATGGCAAACAATCAGCACATTGGGTCAAACTATTTGTCTTCGAATCTTAGTATAAGATTCAATTAGTTGAGAATTTTATTCTCATTAATTGTTTAAAAATTACTCTATTTTCTTAAATTCTCCATGTTTAAAAAAGAGATGGTAAAAAAAA